GGGGAGGAAGAGGGAAGGGGAGCGAAGGGAGGGAAGAGAGGGAAGGAAAGAAAGAAAGAAAGAAAAAGGCTCCCAAACAACTGGTGGAGCTGCCTTATCAGTCCTAAATAGTCTACTTTTAGATTTGTTTCACCTGAGAAAAACACCTATCTTTTTTTAAGCCACTGTTATTTAGGGATTTTCTTTTATTTGCTGCCAAACCTAATCCCAATTGAATAGAATAAAAAAAAATAGAGATGGAGGGCTTAGCCACAGACGAATGCTCCTTCATTTGAGGCTGGAAGAAAGAGCTGATATTTGAAGCAAAGAGGGGAATGTGAATGCAGGAATGTTAAAATAGAGAAAAGAAAAGAGGAGGGGATTTTGGATAGGCAACCTCAGTCTTTGTAAGTAGAGTGTTGAGGAGCAAAAAGAAGAAATTCTGGTAGGGCTAAGTAGCAGTGAGACTATTTAAGAGGAAGAACAGAGAAAACAGGCTAGATTTGAAGACAGGGCAGAATGGTATAGAGTAGAAGTCCCCAGCCCCTGGGTTGCAGATTGATATCGGTCCAGGTCCATAAACTGTTAGGAACCTGCCGCACAGCAGGAGGTGAGTGACGAATGAGCTAGCGAGTGAAGCTTCATCTGTATTTGCAGCTGCTCTCCCGCACTAGCATTACCGCCTCAGCTCCACCTCAGATCATCAGGCATTAGATTCTCATAGGAGCACCTGTCCCTGGTGCTGAAAAGGTTGGGGACCGCTGGTATAGAGGAAGGAAAGTAAACCTATTGGAGGTCGAAGCAGCAGAGGATATCAGTATCTATCATAGTAATAGTACTGAGCACTTACCATATGCTTTACATGTGTTAAGTGCTTTACATATGTTAACTCATTAATCTCTACAAAAGCCTTAACATGAGCAAATGCATGAAAATAGAAATTAAGATCACAGAAGTGGGGTTAGTAAATTGGGTTTAGTAAATTGTGTAATATTCACTTGCAAGCATGGGCCCTTTAAAGTAAAACAAACAAAATCACAGTCTAAAAAGGTCAAGAAACAAACTTAAAATACCAAAACCAAAATGTCAGTGCATATTCATAATCTGAGAAGACTGTGTTGGTCTATCAACAGGTCTGCTAATTGTAGGCAAACCTGCAGTATTTTTGTTTTATGTAGGCTTACCAGTTCTGTCCTGTTTCCCTATTTCTACCTTTTTTGTCTACCCTCTTTACCTAAAGTAGATTTAGAGCAAATACAGTATACCCACTTTTAGGTAAGTAGAGTGTAAAAATAGTTATTACTCTAGTCTAAAGGGAGACTCTTCCTTGATAGTCTATATTTTGCTAATTAAAATCTTAAACTGATGGGTTGAATCTCTGGAATTTTAGGCATTAACTAAAAGATGAGAGTTTAGTGCATGAACCTTTAGTGAACTCTACATTATTACATATAAAGCATTACTTTTAAATTAGGTGACCTGTGAGAAGGTCCCCAATAATCCCATCTCCTGGTTTCAAACCCTTGAGTTGGGCTGTATGTAGTGACTTAATTATAATGAAAAGAATCACAAAAGTGATGATGTCATTGTAAGATTAGGTTACAAAAAAGGCTGGCTTCAATCTTGCACTCTCTCACTTGTTCATCCCATGGGAAGCTACCTTCATGTTATGAGCTGCCCTATGGAGAAGGCCATGTGGCAACAAAGTGAGAAAGGCCTCTGGCCTATAGCTAGTGAGGAACTGAATCCAGCCAACAACCACATGAGAGAGCATAGCAGACCAACCTCAAGCACACAGGGGAGGCTAATCTCAGTTGACACTTTGATTGCAATCTTTTGAGAGATTCAAGGTACGCAAACACAGCAAAGATAAGTCACTATCGAATAATTTTGTCTTAAAATTTTATGTAAAGATAATATGTACTTTTTCATGTCTAGCTTCTCTCACTTAGCATGTTTCTGAGATTCATCTGTTACTGTACATACTGTAGTTTATTCTTTTTAATTGCTGAGTAGTATTCCATTGTGTGATTATAATACAACTCATTTATCCATTCAACTATTAGATAGCATTTGGATTGTTTCCAGTTTTCAGCTACTGTGAGTAAAGTGCTATAAACATTTACATATGTCCTTTTTGGCATGTTTTTTATTTCTCTTGAGTAAATAGGGATAAAATTGCTCGTCATGTGGTAAGTATACATTTAATTTTATAAGAAATACAAAGTTGTTTTCCATAGTGGTCATACCATTTTACATTCCTACCAGGTATATATGAAAGTTCCGCTTGCCCCATGTCCTCACCAACATTTAGTATTGTCAATCTTTTAAAAATGTTAGCTATTTTAGTGGTAATTCATTGTAGTTTTAAATTGCATTTCCTTGATGACGGATGATGTTAAGCATCTTTTAATGTTCTTATTGCCTATTCATTTATCTTTGGAGAAAAGTCTGTTCTTTTCGCTATTTTTTATTGGGTTTATTACTAAGTTGTAAGAGTCTTTTACACATTCTGGATACAAGATTCTTATTGGATATATGATTTATAAATATTTCCTCCCATTCTGTGAATTGTCTTTTCAATTTCTGATGATGTCCTTTGAACTGCAATCTAAAAAAAATTTTGATTATGGCCTATTTGTTTTTCATCAGAAATATGGATTAGAAATATTTCCTCCCAGTTGATGGCTTGCAATTTCATTTTCTTGTCTTTTGAAGAACAGATTTAAATTTTAAATCCAGTTACCAATGTTTCTTTTATGATTAAGTTTTCTGTTATTAAAAAACTTTGCTGCCAGTTTTAATTTTCCTACTTTCTTCTAATTCTATACACAGCAAAATAAGTTGAAATTTTCAACTAAAAATAAATTTAAAAAAAAGCGGAGAAAAAGACATTTCTAGGGAAGGAAATTCAGATTTTCATTAGCAAAAGTATATATGCTGTAAGTCAATGGAATATTATCTTCAAATTGCTGATGGAAAGTATTTGGAAACTTAGAATTTTATAATGTCCAATGATCATTTAAGATTGAGAACAAAATAAAAATATTTTCAGACAAACAAGACCTAAAAAGTTACTGCCCAAAGACCTTCGGTAATTACTAAAGACATACTTAAGAAAAAAAGTGAACATAAATGGAGTATGATGCATAAATCAACAGAGTAAAGAAATGGGGGAAAACAGCTGAGTCAAAATAAGTAACATATTATAAAGTAACAGACCAACACACCCACAGAAGTCAATGACATTTTATACATTTATTCATTGCTGAGGGATACATATTAAGATTTTGACTTTTCTGGTGGTAAAACTACATAAAGTTATATCCTGATATATTTAGGAGATTTGGGCAAGTTTTAGTCTTTTATAAAACATGTCTTTTCCGACCTTACCTACTCCTGTCTCAGCAGGAGTCATTCTTCTCTAATAAAAATTTCTTGAAGTGTTTTCACTGAATTTCTAAAGTTATATATAAACTGTTCATCATTCAATAACAGCATATTTACAAACGAGGCAAACAAGGACCTCTGGGCAGAATGCCCACCCAGACCTCCTCTTCTGATCCTACCCTAAGGCAAATTTTTTCAGGAGAGTTTTCTAAAATTAGGTAACTCCCAGCCCCACTTCCTTCCACATGTCCCCAACCCCTTTTCACCACTGCAGTCATTAATAGATGCAGGCTTTTATTGCTCTGGTTCATGTAGAGATCTCTCCCTCAACCCCCAAATATACTATATGCTCCTCGAAGATAGGGATATTTTCATTTTTGTGTCTATCTTGCATAGTGCCTGTTACATAATAGGCATTTGATAAATCTGTTGAATGAATGCATCAATAGCTTTATGGCTTGGATATTTAAAAATTCATAATTTATTTTCAAATCATATTCAGTTTGTTAAATAGTTCAAAATTGATATACTGTTTCAGAATGCTTCCAACCATTGAAACAACTCAAATAAAAATAATACAACTTACACTTTAAATTCATAATGTAGAATTAAAAACTATTGTAACTATTAATAATGCTTTATATTGTGCTGTATTTTATAGACCACTACAGACACATAAAGGTAGAATTATGTGGTGGGGAAAAGTTATGTTACATATTTTTTCAGAAAAAAACCCTGACATATCCCATCACCAACTTTATGGGAAAACAACAGGTACAAGTTCTGGTACATTAAGAAGTTAACTTTAAAAAAATAGGTTTGGAATCACAAGTTGGTACATTTGAGTATAAAAACACAAATGGTTTAAATCTCATTAAAACAACTTCAAATTTCTCTAAATATACAATTGGCAAAACTGTCAGTCAACTTGTAAGAAATATATCATTTACTTATATTCTCAAATATTGAAAATGCTGGGTGGAAAAATTTTTTTCTCTAAATATACAATTGGCAGAACTGTCAGTCAACTTGAAAGAAATATATCATTTACTTACATTCTCAAATATTGAAAATGCTGGGTGGAAAAATTAGAAGTAAATCTTTTCTGAAATAAGATGTAATTAAATGAGCCTTAGACCTTTTATCATTGAAATAAAATCGAGATTCTATTTCAGTTACTACTTGGCTCTGGTAGGGAAAAGTCTAATCCATTCATTCACAACAGAAAAACTTTACTTTCCATTTCACATGTAGCTAAGTGATCTTTTTTGAGAATGGAAAAATTATTAGCTCTATCTGTGATTCAAGTTCTAGCACAGGTCCTCCCTAAATGAATGCTAGCATACTGGCACAAGTGGTCTTCAGAATTTACACCATGTGAACATATTTTATAAGACAACTCGGTTCTTCTGGTGATCACAGTTTTTTGGATGGGAATTCAAGATAGATTTATCACAGAACAAACTCCAAGTTACAGTACATAGCTTTAAAGTAAGGCTCCAGTGTAGTTTGGAAATGTAATAATACGCTGCAGTTTCTTTTCATGTTTACTGAAAAAAAAAAAAACCCAATCATATAAATTCTTTCTATCTTGGGTCACTAGATACACAACTCCCCAGAAAACCTATCTGTTAAAAACACTATTGATAACTTAGCTTTCAGCCTTAAGCAATTATTTGGTACTATTACTGTTCTTTATTTTATGGCTTTTAAAACATTAAATCCTTAAATATTTGAAAAGTATTTACTATTTTCTGTTGGTTCACAAAAAAGACATGAACATCAGCTTGGAAAATTATAAAGTTTTAAAAAATCATTTTTTTTTAAAAGGAACAGAAATTAAAGGTACAGAAGTGAAACAAATAAAACACTCATTAAAAATTCCATACATGATTCCTTTCACAAAATGAATCTATAATCTTGCTTGTCAGGAGTTGGGGGGAGGGAACTCCTCTGAAGTTTGGGTACGTTAGCAACCTAAGTTTTTTTTTCCATTTTCAAAATAACACTTCAATCCAGTTTTGTAAGTCCAGGGTTTTAAAAACAATAAGTGTGATACTAAAATTCTCTCTTAAAATGTCTTGATCAACTCACTGGATAGGCCTAAAGAAAAATGAGCATTTGTTTAAATACATGAAAAATGTTGTACATTTCCAAATTGAAGTTCACTGTATACATTGGATAGCATTACATCCAATTAATACAAAGACTACATAAAGCTCAAAATCTAAAGTTTTAGCAGGTAAATCATCTGATTTCACACTATAATTCTAATGATCAAATTATCCAATTACTAAACTACAAAACCTTATTCACGATAGTTTAGTCTATTTACTTTGAATATGGAACCACAGTTCTTTTCCTCCAAGTTGAAAAAAGTTTGGTAAATTAGTTTCATATATTAGTTTATATATGTAGTTTAGTTTTATAAACCATATATTCAAATACATAGTTTAAAAGTATCGGTTGAGATACAAGAGATTTTTGAAGAACTTTTCAAAATAGAATTAAGGAGACCTATAGTGTATATCAAACGTCACAACTTATTTGCTGTTATCTGGTTCTTAAATGAATGAGGAATTATATCAAATAATTTATAGTCTCTTCTAGCTCTAAAGTTCTATTATATCATTTTGCTTTTAAATAATTAAGACCATATTTCAAATAAAGTTGTCTAAATAGACAACGCTTGCCCTAAATTAAAGACTTTTTTCACCCATCTTCTGGCTTTTAGTCCTTTGCAGTTAGTTATTAGTGGGGAACAAATATCACATACTTAACTGATTCTTAATCCCTGTGCCCCCCCTCTCTCCAGTGCCCAGCACATGGTAAATGCTCCATACTCACTGGATATTCTTGAATGAGTAGCAAAATATTAAGGATGGATCAAGAATTAAAAAGAATCTGGAGGTGATAATAGTTGTAAACCCCCCAAACAATAATTTCAAAGCTTCTAATCTCTTTTTTAGATTTACTTTGGTTTGTCTTTGTAAAGAACAGCAAGAGAAAATATGGCACAAGAATACAAGGTTATATCATTATAGGTAAATTACAAACAAGGTTATTAAGCAAACTTAAAAAGATTTGTTTCTATCCATGTACTGAAGAAATGAATTTTATTTACACTTCTAAGTAGATTCCAGATACTCCATTACTCTGAGATATAATCATCTTATCAACAGGAAAAATATCTTCCAGTATTTCAGTTTTAACAATTGTAATTAAGTTGCTTAGTTATACTGTAGAGTAAGAAGCAATTAATGAATTTCTTGTAAATAAAAAATATGTATATACATTACCCTGATGCCTAGGCCAAAATATATCTAACAACAAAATTTCTTGATTTCTATCAGTCATAAAAATAAAGGAAAAATATATTGCAAGTATTTTCTTTACAGACAATTTCAATTAGAAAACAATAGTTTAATGAAAACAATACAGTGGTTCATGTGAGTGAGCTGATATGGAGGCAAGAAAAGTATTCAAAACTTGACATAACATATTGTGAAATATAACGAGAGAATATCTGCCTCAATGACACTGTGGTGATTAGATTTTTACACATCTCAATTTTTTAATCTTATATTCAAGGAAAATACAATTCAGTAGGTTATGATCCTAAATCATAGTTAAGAACCCCTTCTTTTAGCTTGTAAGATGTAGCCTTTTGATTTGATAATTCCTCTGCTTTTAACAATGACCGAGTATCGTAGTAGCCACAGTGGCACCCACTCATGTGCTTGAATATCAGGGATGCTTTCCTGAAGAGCTTCTTGGAAACTTGCTTCAGAAAGCAGTTCTTGAAACAAACAAACAAAAAACAATAAATAAGAACCCATGGTTAAATTTGAGAACAAAAGCATTTTACTATTTAAGAAAGCATGTAAACATAACAAAAGAAACACCTCAAAACAGTATATAAAATATGCTTATCCTTAATGTGTGCTGTGAAACTGAACCAGAATATCAGAACCATCCAGGCAGTTCTTCAGAAAGTATCTATACCTGTACCCCAGCCTATTTAATTCATAACATTTGGTGACTGGAGACTGGATATTCGTATTTTTTTTTGAAGATCTCCAGGTGATTCTTATGTACTGCTAGAGAAAATATAGAAAAGTACAAAGAAGAAAAAGTTATCCATTTATCTTATTGACCAGAGACAGACCATTTCCATTGCCATGTATTTCCTTCCAACATTTTTTCTTTTTCAATATCTCAAAAACTAGGAATTATACTGTAGTTACAGCCTAATCTACTTACTTTTCCCACTTATATTATGAATATTTGCCATGTAAGTAAATAATCTGTGAAAGCATGACTTTTAATAATTTTCCCAATATTACATTGTATAGATATCATAATTTATGTTTATTTTTGGCTAAAAAAATCAGGTTTTTCCTAACATTTTACTAATAAAAATAATGCTATGATGGATATCCTTAAAATGCATGCTTGTCTATGGAATGACAAGGTCAAATTACAAGTACATTTTGAACACTTGATACATAGTATATTGACAGTATCTTTACAGAAAGGCTAACCTTTATGCTTCCACCAGCAGTTGATGTTACAGTGCCAATTTTACCATATCCTCAGGAACACTACCAATCATTTAAAGAATCTTTGTCAATGGTTATCTTTTAATTTGCATATCTTTGATTAAATCATTATTTTCTAATTCCACATTCACATCTCAGCCCTCTGCTACTGCTCTGATGTACCATTCCCCTCGACACTTCTTCGTCTCTAGCCACGTTAGCCTCATAGCTGTTATCTTAAAATCCTCAAGCACATTCATACCTTGGGGGCTTTGCGTCAGCTGCTCTCTCTTCCCCGAACACCCACATGGCCCTCTCCTTCTTGCAGGTCTCTAATTAATGTCACCTTAGCAAGGAGGTCTCCCAGACCTAGATACCCTAGATAAAACAAAATCCCTAACCTGGGCATTCTTCCTCCCTCAGCCAACTTTTCTCCATGGCATATACCACCATTTATCACATGTAATGTTTATATATTATTGTTTGTCTTCTCCCATTAGAATAGAAATTCTGTGAGGGTTGGGATTTGTCTGATTTGGTCCTGTATCTCTAGTATTTAGAAGCAATGCCTGGCACACAGTAGGTGTCTGTTGACTAAATCACACAATATGGAAAGATTCCACTGGGGTCAGAATCAACCAACAGATAAAGTGACCATCTATACAGTGTGATTTGGGAACACTAAAGGGCCCATTTGCCCCAGATGAATTGCTGTGATATTTAAATAGCATCAATAGTAAACTCTTAGTAAATATTAGCTATTATCATGTGCTGGGCACTTTTCTCAGTACTTTACATGTACTTACTCATTGAATCCACACGTTAACTCTATGAGATCGGTAATCTCCCTTACAGGGGGACACTGAGGCAAAGGTTAGATAACTTGCCACAGCTAGTAAATGGTAGTTTTCATACACAGAATGCAAATGTCTCTTTGGAAAGGTAACATTAACATGGATTTGTTTATTAGGTAGTCTAACACAGAAGAAACCTTAAGGGAATAAGGCATAATACAGATTAGATTTAATGGGGGTGGAGAGAGAGAAAGCAAATAAAAAGGGGAAAGTTCTAAATCAGGATCATCTTCACAATTTTATCTTGACTGTAATTAACTGTTGCCACAACTTCTAGGGCAAAGAATAATGGAAAATAAACACTTTCTGAGAAATAAGGGTAGTTTTAGAACAGAGTTAGGGCTTTAGGGGACTTATAAACAAAATTCTATTTTAGATGAAAAACAGAGTTAAATATTTTACAACTTGATCGATTTTTAAAAACTTTGGCACTGTGGTTGAAAAAGGGGTGTTGTAATAAATCTAACTGAAAGTAACCTCATTGGGTGATTTGATCATAAATTCCTAACTGGGTGGGTCATTCCTAACCGGGAGGTCACATCCCAGGCATATAACCTCTTTAAAAGTTTTATCTTTGCTTTAAGCAAGCCCTATCCATTGTTTTTGTGCATCTAGAGTAATATATCTTCAAACGCCTCTTTTTCAGACCCTTCAGAAGCCTAACCATCCTCAACAGAGCACATTATCTTGTCAACTATCCTGTAATTCAATCCCTGCACTGCTTTATCCCTCTTTCATGTATTCTTTCTTACATTCCCTCAACGTAGAATAAAAGACCCACAAAATTGTCTTTCTCCAGAGCATCTGAGATCTTGCTTCCTGGCTCTGTGGTCAGTTTGGCTCATATAAACTCATAAAAATTCTCTATAGCTTTGGATGTTTCTTATGACAACAGCATAAAATCAGCAAACTATGCTATTTATTAACTACATACTTTTAATTCAATTGTTAATTCCTTAGAACCAGTAAACACAACAAATCTTTTAAGAAAAGAATTGCTTCATTTATAGATCAGAGTGTCTGAAGATTCATTAATGGTATATACAGGATCAGCCTATAATTTCTAATCAAAGGGTTTTAAATTAAAATTTATAAAAAAACCAAGTGTCAAATTGTCAGTAAAACAAAAACATGCAAAAAGGATTAAATTTCTCTTCTCATGTACATATGCAATATAGTTTGCCATAACAATGGTATTTTAGCACATAATCCACATACCAACATTTGATAAGATAAAACAAAATACCATTAAAACACCTTAGTCTTTTTCTATTTCCTTTCCTACCAGAAAATGGATATAGTATTTTTCAAGTGGAGGTAGAACGGGATACAGGCCCAGCTACTGGTAACAACTACTACTGGTAATAATTACTGTTGGAAAAGTCTGGAAGAGTCCCTGACACAAAGTAAACATAAGCTGATATAATATCTGCCAAAGTAAACATAAACTGATAGAAAGTTAAAATTTAAATGGTTAATATTACAGAATGTATCAGCAATAGCAATTCTTTGTTCAAACTTTGCCCTATGCCAGTTGGGTGACTTTGACTAGTTTCTTAAATTCTGAAGCTCTATTTTCCTCATCAATAAAATGCCTAGTTTTGGCTGTTTTAAGGATTACAGATAATTTCTCTGAGGCATTTAGCATGATGCCTGGCATTTGATGAACAATAACTATTAAAACCCCTCTTCTTAAAAAACAGTGAAAAATGAGAATAGGGCAGACAGCTAATATAAATAGTATAAAGTCTTAAGAGGTTATCCATAAGCATCTTGAAAATAAACTGAATCAAACAACCAATAAAATGCCAGGGAAGTAAAAGCTGAATGTTTTTTCTCCTGGAATCATCTATAGCATATAATTTCCTCCAATATTTATTAAACTAGAACTTCAATAAAAATGTCATGGAGAAGGGAGATTTTGGCCAAGTGGGGAAGGAAACGAACTGGCACGTGAGGGAAGAGCAGTGCAGTTCAAAAATGTCACGGAGATTTACAACTTTCACAAGATATTTATCACTTATAACTATACCAAAATATTGTTTTATAGAGCCCATATATTTACTAAGCAAAATGCCTCCTCTGCTTCCTACGAAACAGTGAAAAAATGAGAATGGAGTAGACTGCTAATAAATAGTATGAAGCATAAAACATTCTCTTCTCAGCCTTCCTAGTTCTCTTGTAAAATATTGACAGAAAAATTATTCTACAGAAGGCAGACAAACCATTCTCATTAATCAAATAATGTTTCTGATTAGCACCAAACAAATGTCTTGATAGTAATGATTAATAAAATACCTAATCAATCACCTATTCTAAGATGCTTAAGTTTCAAGTTAAATTTTATCTGCCTCTTTTTCTAGATATTTATCCTCTTAAGTGGCTCTTTGGTACAATCTTCGCTGTACTAGACAAGATTATATATACTATTTAGAATATCTTTGAAGATGTTTTCTGTGTAGCTTAGTATTTATAAACCTCAACAGACTGATGTTCGGGAAATGATCCCTTCACTTTTTTTCCTATTAGTACAAAGACAAAACTGAAGCTTTCTGAAACCAAAATAAAGGCATATAGGTTTTGAACTAACAGTTAAGAATAGTTCTAGGTAACAGCACCGTACATTTATCATTGTACACAATTAGAAATTAAATTTTAACAAGTAGCATTTGTAAGATAAAAGCTCATGATCAAATTCTGTAAATGAAAATCTGTCTCACCTTTTGGATCATTATGAGTCAATAGCTGTATGTCAAATTGTTTAGCAAATGCAGTCAAATCGGGTGGCATCACACAGCAGGAGGCAAGATTGACTTGATTACTATTTGGTTTTACCTAGAATTGAAAAAAAGAAATCACGACATCTTTACTAAATTAAATACTACAAAAAGTTGAAAGCAATACAAGGACTCAATTTTAGAAAATATGAAATAGCACTTTCTATAGTGCTTAAAATTTATAAAATACTTTTACATGAATATGTTTATTAATGTTTGCTTTTCTAACTCATGTAAGTGGTAACAGAGAAAGGAAAAGAGCTCTAGGAGAGGAGAAAGCCATATAGTACTATACTATTAAAAAGTCTCCTGCTAGAATCTGCAATCAACTATGTCTGCTTTGGAAACAAACCTGATTCTAAGTTTGATGGTTCTGGATATAGAGGAACTATGTCTTAAAGGTAGAGGATCAAATACAAATGATAAACACATTTAATGTTAAAGTATAAAATATGGTAATCAGATACTATTTGAAAATGAGAAGAATTAGATAATTTTTAATAGCTCCTTTGGTTGAATTATAGGTACATTTGGATAACCCAAGTCTCTTCAGCATGATCTTAGCCACGTTCTGGCTACCACCAAGTCAAAGGGAGAAAGGATGACACTTTCTCTATCTAGGGTCTTCCTGTCCATATGAAAATGAAAGCTCTAAAAAGGACAAGGCTGGGTGGGGATGAAGTAAAGGGAATAAAGAAAAATACAGAGAGTAAGGGTAAAATACTAGTGAGCTACTTCCCTAACAATTTGTAAGTTATTAGGCCAGACAGTGGTGGTGATTAATTTATGTATCCATTCCATATCAAGTTGTATGAACTAAGTCTTATATATCTTTAAATAACAGTTAGCAAAATATGTTATATATGATATTCCCTTACTTTGAAAATTAGAACCATGGCCTAATAATACCTAAAGAAAAATGTAGTATTTTAATCACATAAATAAAACTGAAGGAAACAGCCTTAATTCATGTTTAATTCATATTTCAACACATATATTCTAGTATTTTTGTCACTCATTTTAAATGAGATTAAGTTCAATCAGACATATATTTGAGAAAAAAATCCAATGCTGTATATAAAGCCTGTCTAAAAACTCCCACATTTGGAACAGTCACCCCACAGTGAGTGTCCACCATGGGCATGATGCTCAACACTACACAGCAAAGACTGTAAAAGACAGGTCTCTCTGGAGTGCTTGTGATCGAGCTGTCCTTTACCTGGGCCCACTGATACAGCTGTTCCAACTGTGTTTTGTCTAGATCAGAGGTACCTATAGCAACAATCTTTTTACTCTGAACTAAGTTTTCTAATTCCTCCCAGTAAGGCTGTAAATGCTCCAAGGAGAGATTAACTCCATCTTCAATAGGTGGTGAAGCAATGATCACAGAATCCAGCTGTGCAACTCCAAGGACTGAACAGGCTGATGTGAAGGAAAACACAAAGAAGATAAATGTTTGTTACATAATAAAGTATTTCTAATGTCTTTCAAGCATCCCGCTGAATTCTATCCATATAGTTTACTAGTTTCCTATATAACAGATTATTTCATTCAGTTTCATAATTTATCTATCATTTAGAATATTTACATTTTTTAACAAAGTATAAGTGGCCATTCATCTACTTGGTCTGTGTGGGTTTCTTTGACCTGCCTCTGGGGAACTCACAGCTACTACAGGCTTCCCTTTCTGGGGAAATAGGCCTCCCTGTTTCTTAGGCCCAAGGATTTTTTGGTAGCTTATCTTCGTAATATTTTCTTCTCTAATTCTACTATCTCATATGGATGATCACAAGAATTCTGACCTAGTAGTCTATAATTGGTAGTCATAGCAAAGAATAAGCTTGAGACTCTGAAAAACTGAATTTATGGTCTTAATCTATAGAAGTAGATAATTTAATTTCTATAAAAATAATTTAAGAGCTTATTTTTAATGATTATTGCTCGCTCCACATTTATATTAAAGAGCTAATTATTTACCTGTTCAATGTATATAAATACTGGAAAAATGTTTTCAAAGAAAAAATACTGAATAACTGTAACATCACAATAACCTAAACCAGGTACTGAAAATAGAAAAAAAATGCTTTGCTTGTTTGTTATTGTTTTGGTACTTCATTTATAGTATCAAAAAGACTAAGAATGTGATTAAGGAGAATTTCTAATTCCAAACATAGAGTTAACATTTAATTATGTTATATTTTTTACATCCCTCTTATATATCAAAATGTGACCCTACATAAGTTGATACGATTCTATAGAAATTGTAAGAAGTTAGGCTAGAACTTTAAAAGGTAAAGATGGAATGAGCCCATTTTCTTTATTATGTGGACCTAAACACAAGATATAATTAAATACCTACACTAATTTAAAGTCCACTATGAAGGAGGGAGGTAGATGGGGTAAAAGGGGTCGAATATGTGGTGACATTAAAGAATTAAAAAATAAATAAATAATTCCACTATGAAGATAAAAATTAAATTTTGCTTACCCATGTCAACTGCATTTCTAGTTGATGATGAAGAGTTTGACCCTACAATGAACAGTTTTGCTGGGTAATAAAGAGAACACAACTGATTATGGCATTCTACTATATAGTATTAACAATGGTAACAATACTAAGATGACAGTTAATCCTGAATAAATTATTTTTCTTTCCTAGTCACATAATTTTACAGTTTTCATTTTAAGACATAAAAGAATATTTCCATTATAATTTTTAAATTATATGATAGTTGCCAAAAAATGTTTGTCCAAACAAAAAATCAAATATTAATTTCCCATTTGTTAGAAGGCATATCGGATAAATATAGAAACGAATTATGCAAAATGTACATTTTTATGAATTAAACATTAATGGAGCATGTTACTTTCTCCAATAAATAAAAACCTATATATAGGCTAAGTTAAAATTGCTTGTAATGAGAACAGAAAAAAAATCCACAATCCCGCCTACCTAATAATTAAAAAAATTTTTTTAGATACTATCTTCTAGTTCTTGGTCATATGAAAGAGGGTATAACATTTTTTCTACTTCTATTTGGCTTACCATTATGTAATAAATATTTTTTTACATCTCTATGCAGTACTTAGTTATCTTACATTTTTTTTTTTATCATAGTAGCAATGTATTCACTCTAGAAATAAGGACAACTTTTAAGAGCTCTAAGATGGATCTAAACCATGATGAACCACATACAATCTACTGTGTTGCTTTTACTTCCTTTTCAATACAAACAGCAATGTGAAATTAACAGAAAGAAATGAGTTTTGGAGTCAAGTAAATCTAGATGGTTCAAACACTTACTAGCTGTATAACAACTTTCAAGTTATTTAATGTCACTTGTACAATGAGGATAATTAACCTACCTTGTAGAATTGTTTTGATAATTATAAAAAATATAACCAAAAAATGCCAAGTACAGTGCTTGGGACAAAGCAAGACTCAGCAAATGGTAGTTATTATTGCAGTCAAAAGACAATGCTCTATCTCATCTTTCATGTCCATTCCAATAAAAATAATAGCCACAACACAACCACAAATGGTAATAAATAGCTACCTAGCACTTTGTGTCAAGCACTGTAAGTGCTTCTTTTGTTATTTCATCTTACTTACAAAGAAGCCTGTGAAACAGATGCATCCCCATTTTTATAGATGAGGAAACTGAGGTTTGGAGAGGCTAAATCACTTGTTAGCTCAAGATTATATCAGTCTGCATACCCGGGAATTTCAACCTCGTCAAGTTCAAGCTTTTAATGACTGCGCTATGCTGACTATAAGTTGAGAGCAAGAACACTGCATCTTTTAATTTCTTGAGTTTAGCATAGTCTCTGGAAACTTGTCACTTGATACACTGTTGAGTGAGTATAATATGTATTCTATTTCTCTTCATGCAACTTGTTGCCCAGACTTCTTTCTATATTCCCAGGTAATCTCAGCATTGTTTGACAGTGTTCCACCAGAGAAGGAGGACTTCTGCCTGTTTTGGGTAGACATTGTTCTTAAGATTTCCCTTTATTCTTTCCCTTTCCTCTACCTTAATCTGAAGTCTGACACATAAACCATTGTGAAGAACAGCAAAGTGAAGTTCTATTCTGATTCCACTGAAGTATTCAACACTGACTTCTTATAACTCTAAGAGTTCACATTAAAATTACATTACAAAAGAATCTTTATGTTCCCCACACTTAGTGACTGAGTTGCTCATTGCCAGAAGCAAAGAAAGGCTTACTCCTGTGCCTGACAAAACCTCGCTGTCACTTCCACTGTATAACGTAACAAATTATAAAGGCTGGACTTTACCAGAAACTTTCATTTCTTCTCTTTCATCAGGATTTATCTTTTCTACTGCATGAGATACAGTACATTCCAAGACATCTGGAAACTCCTATAATAAACACATAATGTTTATAATAAATATAAAATTAATGTTTCTGATTAGCTATATATTTTCTATTGTCCAGAATGCCCTGTAGAAGCAGAGAGCCCATAAGATAACAGGGTCCTTTACCTGAGGTCTAAATGGGCTTTATAAGGTTTGTAAAGCCCTGAAATAAAGGTAAAACACTTGTGTGTGTGTCCATTTTCTGGGACAAAGTGTCTCATTTTGATCAGTTCCTGGAGAGATGCATGATCAAAAAAACTCAACAAATGGGGGGTGAGAGGCATGAAAAAAGTAAGAACCATTAGTACAGTAGATAATTTTATTTAGAAAAGAAACCAATGAAAAATAATATTATCCATTCTGGATACTGACATGATGAAAACTTTCTACATTAATCACAAACATTTTAAACTAAAACATTTTTTTTTTCTGAGTGCAATTAAAAAAAGGCCATTCCAATGCATAATGAATTATTTATGAGGAAAATGATAAAGTGTTAGCACATACATATCAGAAACACATTAATAAATATTTACAAGATTAAAACAAAGTAAACAGTGAGGTCCTTCTCACAATTCTTGAGCATATTACAATGTCTGGCTCATATAAAGGGTTCAGTAAGTGTTACGAAGTCATGCATAAATAGAGTAAATGGTCATTTCAGAGAGAGATTGATAGTAGATGTTAATAAATGTCTACATAGTAGCTATCAAGTTATAAACTTACAGTATGCCCAAGAATGTCAAGTACATGACTTCTTCCATACTTTTAACATAGTCTATATAATTTGTTATGTGCCTCAGGCTGAGCTGGATCTCAAAGAGTGTTTTACAGACAGGAGTTCTGTATATTAACATTTATGATAACAGACATCTATTGACATTTAATGAAACACAGTTCCTTACTGTTTTACCAGAAACTGACATTTTAAAAATTATTTCTAGTGACTATATTATTGGAGTGATATTCTACCAAGGTAATCTATCAACCCAAACTGTCTGATAGATATTCCTTCACTAGACCAAATATAAGCTGGAACAAAATACATTGTGAGGAAACTGGTGGGAATTAAGCAAAGAGAATCCTAGTATCTTGTCTAGTTGAAGAGCTGACTACACAGTCCAGATTTTCTATTTTCTGCTTAAGCCTACTGAGTCAGACTGCCATCTCAGCATATCAGCCAGAGGGAGTTTTATGCGAATTGCCTATTTGACTTCCCTGTCAAAACTAAGGAAATTACCTTCCTGCTTACTTCTCTTCCTTTGTGGACCACGTAAATTCCTCATACACATTACTCACCCTGACCAGATCAGGGCTGATCTGGGAGCTCCACTCGTTCAAGGTCTTCTGGATACAATCTCGAAGCTGCAAAAGAAATGCAGTTTGAAACTATTAATCAAACTCTGTACATTTTTCTGTACTTCTATGATAAGAATGTATTCTCTTAAGCTGGAAAAAGATGTCAATAGGAAATACCATACAAATCGAAATTAATTCTACAAGGTTTTTGTTTTCTTCAACAAAGATCAATTTAGATCCGTTTTTTGCCCTACTCTTAATTCTCAAATGTTGATGACCTACATAACATTTACAGTAATCTAATTACTTTTAAAGTATTTTTGTACCAATAAAAATTTAACTTTTGAGATATAAAAGCATTCATAAAGAAACAAAAAAAAATCAAGAATAAAGTTTATAAATAGAGAAACATGGCATCAAGCCTAGGCAGCCTGACTAGAATTAATATTAACTCCAATGCTATATTTCTCAAAGACAAATGATTCTCTGAATGAGGCAGAGGAACTCTTATATCAGATTCGCCTATGGTGTTTATTAAATATTTAAATTCCTGAGCCCCAGCCTAGACCTGCTTATTCATTCTACAAGGGAGAACTTCTCTTTTAACAAGCATCCCAAGTAATCAATATGTACTCTAAAATCTGAGAACCACCATAGTCACATCTTTCAGAAGTCAACTTGCATAATGTCAGTCCATTATGTCATTTCCTAACACTTAGGTTCACTTCCAACCTGTCTTCAGTGTTCTCTTATATAAACAAACAAAAAATTTTACACTAACATTATAGTATATTGTAAATTCATTAAAGTGTTTACTCATCTTTCATCTCTTCTGTCAGTATATTTCAAACTTATTTATGACAGTGGTCTAAAGTAAGACATACATTCACACAGTGAGGGAGGGCCTACATACATGTAACAGAACAAAAAATTTACAAAATGATATTTATGTTCCCTACATGCCAGGCACTCTAACAGCTTCTATTCTATTAATTAGAAAAAAATATACTGCTCCATGACTCACTAAATTGATTCAGGACTACTAATGGGCACTACTTGGAGTTTGAAATCACTGCCTTATAAATATCCAAGGGCAGGCACAGTGCTTTGCATTCTGCAGACAATCAATGAAAAAAAAAATGAGCAAGTAGAAGCAAGTCCCTGAATTGCAAAAGCACTTTCCTAATAGCAACAACAGAGACTAAACTTCTGAACTATCTAATGTATGACTGTGTATGATAAAAACTGAAACAAGCACTTTAGTGCTTATATCTTAGTACAGATAATTACAAGGGACAATTGGTTTATCAATTTAAGAGCTCACAGTCACCTATTTAAGATTTATAATACATAGAATAATTTTTGTACTACCCACAATAACCCACGTGAATTCAATTTACAAGGTCTATATCTTTATGAAAAATATATTTATAATGAAATTTAAGATAAAAATTAGTTGATAATGATTCCAGACAGAATTACAAGTGAATATTTGTTTAAAAATTAGTAAAAGTTGAGGCAGCAGGACCAACTGGAAGTTAACAATTTTATCAGGAGTGCTTTGACTCCAATCATGAGAGAATGTGAAGAAATCTTCTTCTGGAAAGATGGCTCATTTGCATACTTAAAGCTTTCCTGGTAAATTCCTCAATTTAGGAAGATAAATATATTTTCAGAGTAGTTGCCCCCTTCTTGAAATCATTTCTTTAATTAATCTCAAAATGTCAGGACAAATCATAGAACGGTCCAATGCTACGATATGAGAAATTCATTCACTATATCACAAACCTAGTGTTTTTGTTTTTTAAAAAATCTTTTATATGTTATCTGTATTGAGTGAACACTAACCTTTGTTCTTGGCTCTCTTCACTCCTATCACATACACATAATATCACTGAAGGTAAGTATCATAATATAGTGTATCATTAAATCTGGAATTGTATAAGAGTTTTAAAAATACCACATGATTTAACTGGTCCAATACCCATACAACAAAGAACTGAGCAAAACAGTCCTATAATAGCTCATTATAAAAAAAAGAAAAGGTTTGATTTCATAAAATTCTAGTGAAACAACATATCTGGACAGAAATCATAGAATAAAAGTAAACAAACATTAGAAGTAGAAGAGACCTTTTAGAAAATTTAATTCAACTTTCTACTAAACGTATAAATTTTCTCAATGAGTGATTTATTCAGTTTCTTTATTCATAATGAGGTTAAACTGTTTCAAGTAGCATATCCCTATTTGAAGCCCTGGTTGTTACAGTTCTTTTTTACATGGAAACAAAGCATGCCCCTCCTATTCTACCCAAGAGGTCATATTTTCCCTATAATATGTTGCCATATCTTCAAGTGTTCCTCAAATGTTTTCTAATTTCTTTAGTTTTCTCCCCCTTATGCTGCACCCAACATAAAACACACATAACAAAATTAGTCTTTTGAACAAAGTTTTTCAAACTGTGGGGTGTGACTTATTCCTGAATTAAGAAATCAAGTTTCAAAAAAATTTAAAATAGGATAGGTAAAGTCAGAAGATACAGTATATAGCAAGGGTTAATATCCTTTCATGAAACCTTTGAAATATATAAAACTATGAATTGGATTGCAAGGTAAATGCATTTCTCACTCTGCAGTAAAAAATTTTAACTTTGAATGCCACAACCTTAGTGTTGTAGTGAGATAAGAGAGAAAATTTCACCCATTATCAATATACATGCAAAATGGTGTACTGAACCAGTCGCATTGGAGGAAATTAAAGATTTAGAACTACAGAAATATTTATCTTTGGGAGAAACAATCTCAGTGGGGTGGCTTGAACAAAACAAGACATACAGATTAAGCTAGAACCTGGACATAGAATATACTATAGATTCTGATTCCTATTAAAATTACAACCAAGAGTTCTCATCTCCTGATGGGTGGTCACTCCCAACACCAGACCTGGGCACAGGTCCAGCACATACATACTCAGAGGGATGCCATGTACTGCTGCACAGTATATCACCATTTTACACAAAAAAAGCAGAACCTGCCTAGGAACACAGCTGACAACATCATATTATGACACAATTTAGGACATTTTTTCTTTTAATCAAGATTTGTTTTATCTTTCTGATCGAACTAGAAAATAGGTGAGATAAATTGCTTGTATGGTGAGCGTTTTCAATGTTATCTTTTAATGCTCACAACGACCTGATGAAGGTATTATTATGCAACTTTAAAGTTACAGACTCAGGGAGAGTAACTTTCTGAAAGTCACAGAGCTCCTAAACTCAAGGTTTGTTTTATTTATTGTTATTTTTTAATACTAAAATTGTCCCATACTACCAATATGCCTCAGCAATTAATTGTGCAGAGTCAATGATTGTCTGCTCAGGAATGACCAGCTACGTCGTAACAGATATGTAACAAGTATATGATTCCAGATTCACCTCTGCCACTTCAAACTAGCGATTAGTCTTTAGGCAAATAAACTAAGGCAGATGAAATCTTCGGCAAGAAAAAGATATACTTTATTCCAAAGAATTTAGTCATTCGCCTCACAGCAATAAACTTGTCAACATCCTAAAAGCTAAGTGAATCATTACTACTCCATCTGAATCCTCGAAAAACTAGTCTCTGAACTATTTTTCACCTGGACACATTGGGAGAAGGGAGCGGGACCGAGCGATGGACTGGCCGGCCCCTTCTGACTTCTAGCCAGGGAGACCCATCGGAAAACGTTCGAGAGTTTGGATGGATAGCAGCCATAAGCACGGATGCAGGCGTCGCTCTGTGGGAAGCTGCACCTGCCAAGTTTTTTAAAGACCCGCTGACCCCAACAGCAGCTTTGGGTGTGATGTCGCGCCGACAGCAACCCAGCTTTCTCCTGCCAGCGGAGCCCAGGTGCGCGCCGGGCCCGACCACCCGCCCTGGCCTCTCGCAGCCGCCCGGCCGGGTCCGCGGCCTGGCCCCGGAGCCCCGCGTCTCGGCGAGTAACGCTCGCCCGCCCTCACCTCCTCGCTGTGCGTGGACGGGCACTTCTTCCGCAGTCGGCCCCAATTCAGCAGGTTCCCCGTCTGCAGGTGCAGGGTGCGGGCCCGCGCCAGCAGCGCCCCGGCCGCGCGGCTATCGGTGTCCATGGCAGCGGCCGCCGGCGGGGGCCAGGCGGCGACGGGGCTGCAGGCGGAGAAGGAGGCCTCCTCCCC